CCTGGGGTGGGTCGGAGTTCAACCTTACTTAAATATCGAGGCTTTATAACCCGTGACGCACTAACATGTAAATTGTAGGACGCTATCTGCAACAGATTCATTTTACCAATATTTCTCATAGCCAGTGTCATATATAGCACAAGCTGAAATCGCATCTAAACAAATATGAGATTATCCGTAAATTGTTAAGCTTTATTCAAATAATCAGAGTTAGAACACGTGATCAAAAAAACAGGATAGATACCAAATCAGTGACATAAATGGCATATTCTTCGAACTACTGTGTTTTTACAAAATGGCTGCAATTATAAGTTCAAACTTTTTCTAAATGGGCATTGATATTTCACAATTTTTAATATTTTGCGAGTTTGCATCAGTAACAAGTTTGAACATCGCTTCATTTTGATACGCTTTACAAATAGAAAAGGTGTCTCAAAGGTACGTAATTACCCCTTCCGTTACCATGGTTTCGACAATTCTTGCTTTTACCCCACTCTAGTATACTCCAGTAATTTTTTTCATAACCGTAGTTGAACAGCCGACCCAATTCTGAGTTTACGAATACCAATGTTCAATTGCAAATTCGAACCCAACCCACAAGACAAGGGGACTCCTGTATCAAGTATTGGGAGAAATTCCCCTTCGTGGAGGACTTTTTGATGGAACTGTCCCGCATTTTCGATACACGTAGATGAAAACCACGAAAATCCACCAACGGTTATTCTGGTGGCAAGGGGACTAACCCATGATCCGTATACCACCGATGACCTTTCACGACAGCACTTTGGTGCGAAATTATATCGATCAGCCATCTCTGGGATGCGAACCCGGATCACCTCATTGAAGGCGAACACTATTCCAACTATTAAATATTCTATCTATTGAAAGGTACTGGCGGGTTAACAAAGCAAGATTAGAAATAGGTAGAAAGTGTGAATAGTGGGGAAATCGCGTAACGTTGAGACCCCTATTGTATTTACAAATATAATACAGTTACGAAAAGTCGAATACACTTACATTGCTTTCAAACAACTTTTGAAGTCGTTTTTCGGATGTATACTTTTCATTGCTCCGTATCAGCACAAGCACTTTGGACAGAGTCGGGCATGACCGAATTAACTTTTCTAAGAGAACCTGAAATAGCAACTGAATGTTCATTTGCATAGATAATTGCTTAAAGCTATTAAAAATTTAATAAGATGGATGCAAGAAAAAAAAACGATCATTCGTGTTGATTTCTGAATACAAATATTTTTTAAACGCATAAGTACATCCGGACAAATGTTTTCTTTTATACGAATATAGACAAATTTTCTTTTAGACGGCCTATATGGAAAACTCTGTACACAGCTTGTATAGGGCGTTCCTTATAGGCTGTCCTTAATATGTATTTTTAGAGTCCTTATCAAAGATAAAATCAAAAATTGTGTGCACAATGGGGGTGGCTAATTAATGTTTAATAGAAACAAAAAACAAATACAGTTGCGAAATCTGACAAATTACGGTACAGGAAAACGAGAGTAATAAATTAGACAGGTTTTATTGCTTGCTGAGGAGACAATCTAAGTTTCAACCTCCAATCAAACCTGTTTCTCTGTTCCATATAACTTTAATATAAATCATGAAACATAGATAGCCTTTTTGTTTCCTCGTCGGGTAAACTATGAAGTTTGCGACTCCCTATGTGCATATTTTTTTCTGGTAAAGATTCTAAAACACACATAAAGTTCGGTCTTTACGTAACACCCTGTTGTATACTGCAACTTATTTCGCAAATTTTAAATATTAACTTAAAATCCAGTTTAATAGATCTTGCAATATATTAAAACGTTTCTATAATCAAGGTGAGGAAGCATATTTGTATTACTGATATTTAAACAGAATAATAAGATTAAAAGGATGAATTTTTGATACCATTTTTACATAACTGAAAACGCATTCAAAACAAAATTACTTCAAGATACCGTTCGTAAATGCGACGCCTGAGAGAGGTGTGTGATTTTGTGACGGTTTGTGTCGAGGAAAAGCGAGATGGCAACAAGTGTGACTTTCCACATTTTTCATGCAATAAAAAAACATTAAAAATCAGAAAAATAATTTTATCAAGAAAATAGGTTCACATTTAATAATTATTATTCTTACGATTACAAATATCATTAAAACAAACTAGTTTAAGCTTAAAGACAAAAATTTAAAACATGTTCTACCACAGATTTTTTGTTTCTGAACTGCAATTATATGTTTCATGTTTAATAACGTGACATGTGACAATGGGAGTAGGGATCAAAAACATTGAAAAACATTTGTTAACGGCCCTTAGCTTTGTTTACTTTGCTTAAACAGAAGCAAAAGTTGTTTAAGATTAAGAGGTTGGTTAAGATTAAATATAACCTCTTCACTACTGATTATAGCAAAAAAAAATATTTTACTGTTCCAAATTTCTATTTTAGTGTCATAAGATAAACAAAATATGCTGCCAGGGGGCTAATAATTTTAGGTAAAAATACGTAGACCTCAGGTTTTAACCAAGTAAGAGGATATAAATATTTCCAATGTTGAATTGCACTTAAAGTAAGAGCAAAACATCCATTTTGTTATATAATGGTCTATTTAAATGCAATGATGAATTGATTTAATAATTTAGGGGAAAAAATTTTAAAAATACGAAGTTTTGTTTAAGTGCAATGCAATATATTGCATTAAATCTCAGTTTCAAAACCATTAATTATGCAAAACAAACAAAATAAAAAAATTTGTAAAGAATCTAGCATTAAGTATAAAAATATTTAATACCAGGAGGTGAAATTTCGAATTTATAGAGAAAGAAAATACAAAGAAATAAATTTATTAAATGTACGTATCTTAAAATAAAACAGTTAATTAAATTACACATAATAATATTACTAAATAGATATGAAATTAAACTTTCACAATAATACAGTATTTCACTTAACTACTACGATGTCATAAATTTCGCTATACGTACACATGCATGGACCTGCATGTTCTTGACTGTATTATTTTTCAATATTAAGTAAATATAAATTTAAGCGCTTCAAACAGACCACAGAACTACTAAGTCGAAATAAAAAAATATTACTTTCAGAATAACTAAATTATATAATATTTGAAATTGCCGATCGAAATGTGTAGTGGTCAGGGAGCTGAACTCACATAAGAAAGGTCCTTGGCTCGAATCCCTGACAAGGCATGGACGTTCTTTTATTCTATGTACTATCTGTCCTTACGGTTGGAGCAACATTGGCCCACCTAATATGGTGACCATGAAAAAGTAGCCAACAAATCTGCCCTACTGACACCTGAATGACGAGTGTCAGTCAACCGGGTGGGCATTGGAACAAAAATATTTAAAATGACTGAAATTTTCGAGCAAGTGGATTTGTCATTTTTAGAAAATCACTTGTGTTTATGTGGAATAATAACTTACGTGTTCTATATTTATTAGAATCCCCAGTAAGCTTAAACGTGCACGAATGTTTACGCGAGGAGAAAAAATCAAAATTTTTTTACAGCGTGTTTTTTAGAAGCTAAGAAGCGAAGGTCCACATGAGTGGACCAAGGTAATGAAGTTGATACAGACGAAGAAATAGTTTTCATGCTTACCTTGCCTAAGAATCCTGTTGCTCCAGTTATAAAAACACATTTTTCATTAAACATAAAGTTTATGTTTCGGTACGTCCCCGAAATTCCTTGGAACATGCTTGATTCCTATTAAAATAAAAATTAAAATAACACTCTCAGGTTCAATCAAAAGAACACTATACAGCTAATCTATTGTAATTTTAAAATTTAAAGGAGAGAAAATACTGTTGTCTAAGATAGATACTCTGTCAGACATTCGACTGGACCTGTGGCGGTGACTATGGTAACGAGGTATGATTATTTTAAGTAAGGGCGCGGGGTCCCTCTTTAGGACTGATTTCGGCGAGAGAAAAGGAGACCTCTTC